AGACCAACTAAGTTTGCATCCCTCTTTATAGTGCGACGGATCTTAAACTCAAAAACCAAAATAAAACCTTTGGAGAGCGCTTTGAGTTCGTCTGCATTTACAACTTCAAGAATTGAGGGATACCATTTTATCTTTATCAACTCTTTGAATCTTTCATGGGACTAATAGCTACGACATATTTCATTAAGATTACATTAGTCCATAATTTGGATGTCATCAATATACCAAAACCCATGTAGGGCAAATGCACTTTTAAATCCTTAGTTTGAAACATACTGAGTAAGCAACTCATCATCCGAGTACCAATCCTCTACCACAACCCTGTTGCTGTGGCTAGGCTCACCTACATTGCTCTGACTTGCATGTTGCCTATAGTAAGCGGCCTTCGCTTTATCTGTGGCCTCTGTGGCCTGAGTGAATAGCACGTTGTCGTCATCCTCCACCTGTAAGTCCGCTTCTGCTAGAGCGATGAGCTCGCTCAGTCTGCCAGTGTCGTCCTCAGCCTCCTTCGCCTACAAGCCCACCTTTGCTAGAGCGATAAGCTCGCTTAGTCTCCAGTGTCATCCTTTGCCTCCTCCGCTTGCAAGCCCGCCTCAGCAAGAGCGATGAGATCACTCAACCTGACAGTGTCGTCCTCATCCTCGTCCCCCTCATCAGACAACACAATCGATGATTGAACGGTGCGACTAGCTCGCGTTCTATGCTCATATAACTTCTTTTCCTCATACCTTGCACGAGCCACCTCTACGGCAAGGTCCTCGCTGCATCCAATCCCTTCATGTATAAAATGCAATCAGTTAGCAACGCGATTATATTACATTTAAATCAGGCAACGAAAAAAAGGCTTTCAAGCACTCACTGGCACAAAATGCAACAACATGATTGTTCAAGACCTGCATATGTACTCTTGTCTCCTCCCTTGCCTCCTTCCTTGCCCTCTCCTCCTCTAACGTCCTCCGTCTCTCCAATCCCCATTTGTCAAGCCCAACATCGATCGGGTTACGAATACCGCGCTGTCTAGCAAACTCACGCATCTTGTTTTGTGATGTTTAACAAATAGGTTGATGTAGTCAGGTCCATATCTCCTCTTCCGTGCAATTACTTGCCTCCCCTTCAGTTCATCCAAGAACTTAGCTTGACCATCATAACATTTCCACCTGCATTTTCAAGTGCTCTGTTCAAACGAAAAATTATATCATATATGTCTTAACAAAATAAACAAAATACGATTTCATGTTTACCATAAAAATAATCAACCTCATCATAGTCAACCAAATGGCCACAATAATGGCCTATTTCAAGCTCCGACGGGACTAGACCGTAGTTGGATTTAACACCACATTCGCACTTAACTTGAGGTGCTTTGTAAGTTAACATTTCTTTCTTCTTTTCTTTTGCCTTTGGTGGCTCCGGCCATTGATTCTTAGGACCGTAGAGCCACTCATTGAAACGACACTTCGCAAATCCAAAATGCTACAAGAGAATACATCAGTACACACACCTATAGAGATAAACATTTAAACAGATACACTTTCCACTTACTTCGTGTTTGTTCGGACACACAAACTCCAACGTATTCTCAGGGTTTATCACAGCTCGATCTCCGTATTCGCACAGAGGAGGTTCATTGAGTCGTCTAACTGTGGTTAGGTGCTTCTCCTTAGCCGTCATTGGCGGGGTTAGGGAGGGTGGAACCCAACGCTGGAAGTGCTCACGTGGATGTCTCCCTCTACACCAATCGTCGAAAAGGAGGTACCTAGGATTAAACTTCTCTGCACCGTCGATCCACTGAAAGAAAATGCACCTCTCATGGTCCTACACAACAATATTCCAACAAAAATATTAGTAGCCTACTTACACAAATGAAGAAAAAAAGATAGTGAAAACAATTATTTACATTAAAACGTCTGCATGTGTAGAAGCAATGCGCTGCTGTGTCTGGATGTCTCGATTGAAACACGTCGGCCGAGAAACCATAGTCATAGTTAGAGATAGGGAGGTCAGGAGGGCCGTAGGCATTTTTGCTAGACGTGTCGGGGTATAATTTTCGAGGACGACCCCGTTTTCGTCAAAACTCCTCTCGATACATTTCTTGCATCTAACAAAACGATTGTAATTTAACAAATAAAAATCAAAACATCACAAATTAATGTCAATGAGAACCATAACTACAATACAACAAATTTTGTTCTAAGAACCGAAAGCAATTAACATTAAACCCTAAACCTAAGGGTTCCCATTTGATGCACAACAATGAACCCATAACATAACAACATGCGCTGCAGTTACCTAGGTATAATAGAAATATTAAAAATTATATGAAACTCTAAGTAATGACGATTCTTAGGTTGAAAAATTCGACTAATATATACCGAATCGATGCGAAAAAAACTAGAAGGGGAGCGAGGATACCTAGCTCTCGAAGATCTACGGATCAAATCAAAGTTTTCAAGGTCCAATATGCCGAATCGTGAGGTAGGGCGAAGTAGGGAGAGAAAAAACCCGAGAGGGAGGAGAAAGAAGAGGAAAAAGGCTCGGGCAACAAGGTTGGGACCGGGGTTAAAATACCACCTCGACGTCATAGATCATACGCGCAAAGCTCGACGTCAAGATCTACGGCACCAAGCTCAACGCCAGGATCTACGGCGCCAGGATCTATGGCGCCGAGCTGCCTGTCAAGTCACCGCTACGTCTGCGAAGGTCGACACCAGCAACGGTAGCGTCGAGCTAAGGGTCCAAAATTTAAAATGTTACCTCTAGAAGCATATTTGTGAAAAAAATTCAAAAAAAAAGACTAAAAAATAAAAAATTCGGCACACACTCTCGCCATCAAACGGTTCCAAATGTTCAGTCGGAGCAGCCCCTGGATAGAGACACGCTGGTCGTCGCGCGGTTCGCGAAACTTGGATCGGTATCGAGAATAAGGCATCGATTCCAAGTGCGATATGCATGGTAGCGTGCAACTCGTCGCGGTCGCGGTACGGCGCAGTCGAGTCCCCAGCGATCGACACACGACACGAGCTCGCCTGATTGAGATGGGAAAGCAAGCGAACCAAAACCAACGAACGCCCCAATCCCCCTCGTTCAGCGGATAAGGCCACACGATGGAGGGACGCGACAGGCGACACAAAGCGGCCGGCCGGGCAGGCACCAGGCAAGGCCTGCGCGTGCAGGTGCGGCGACGTACGCAGGGGCGAGCGGAAAAGCCTGCGCTTTCGCGCGCGGGCGCGGCTTTGCGCGTGCTCGGACCGCGCCGGATGCCAGAGTCCAGAGACCTAGGCGCCTATACCATCGGACGCAGCGCCCACCGGTGGAGGGCTATGAGTTACTAGCTAGGACGCCGGTGGAGCCAGCTGTCGACCCGCCACTGCATGCTCCGGCGCGTCGTCCGGCCTCCGCCGCCTCTCTCGTGTCGATCGCGCGCAGGGCACCCTATGATGAATGATGGCGCACGGACGGACGACGACGACGCATCGGCCGGTCGGGGTCCGCGCGAGAGTGCAGGCCGCGCATGTGGAGGGCAGAGGGCTATAGGGGAAAAGGCGGCTCGGCCTCCAGCTCTCCACCGGAAATATCTTGCCTGTTCGGGAGGCCGTATTTATTGCTGATTTTGTGTGAGGAAAAATACTGTTTTTAATTGAAAATTTATGATCGTTTACGAGCAAACGAATAGGCTGATATCGGCTGTTCCCTGAGGACCCCTGCGCACGCTGTGACCTGCTGTGATCAGCCACGCACCAGACGATCAGCTACGTGACGCCTGGGACGCTGAGGCTGGACGCCCAAGGGAATGTACGTACTCCTCCTAATCCTACTGTGCATCGTGCTTTGTCAAGCTAGGCCGTGCGGGTCGCGGGCTAGCTGGAGCCTAACGCCGCTACAGTGCCCTCCGGCCGTGGTCCGGGCGGCATATTCGTCCATGAATCTGGGAGGGGTGTTCGTATGACCAGCCGGAATTGTTGGACGTCCACACGAAGCCTACCTGTAGCATGCATTTGACGACACATATAATCGTTCTGACTTCTGACTGATTCCAACATGTGGCATGCAGTACCACGCCACTGAATGCCACTTGCAGGGAACGCAGATGAATCGTCGTGCCCCGCTTTAGAAAACTTTTGCAGGAATAATTGGATCTTTGGGACCTAGTGGTGAAGTAGTGATGGAAGAAACGCCCCATCACTCGTGCACTGCCGTTCAATCTATACGTGAAACAGAATGGCTTGCATGCAAATTTCTGGTCTAATGGAATGAAACAAGTACCATCGTCCTACTTTCTCGAAAAAAAAACGCATTCTACTTTAGGTACTCTATACATGCCCCATCAGGAGATGTATGTGTATCCTACACATACTTTTGATGAACACCTGCATTGTTTTTTTTTGAAACATGTCCTTTGTTTATTTTAGCCTAAAAAAAGTAAAGAAGGCCGCGGGAGGCGTCAGCCGAAAATTTGGTTTGTGCTATCAGCTGCTTCTCCATATATATATGTATATATCTAGATATATGGGCTGCCAATACTAAGGTCTTTAGAAATCAAATGGGCTGAGTTGTCCAATGGGGGCAGATTTGTCGAGTGTTTCTCTACGTCTTCTACCAAAGGCCTGACTAAGCTTCCATGGGTTTCTTTGGCCCAGATGAAAGATTTCCTGAAGCCCTTTTAAAAACAAAAAATAGCGCCTTTGGTCTAAAAATGAACAAAAAAAACTAATGTCCTGTTCGCTTGGCTGATAAGCTATGACTGAAAGTACTGTTGGCTGATTCGTTGTGAAAGAAAAATATTGTTCGTTGGCTTAAAAGGTACGGCTTATAAGCCAAACGAACAGGGCGCAAATTAAATCATTTTAAAATTTAAACTGGAATTAAATCCTCTAGCCCTTAAAAAGAAGGAAGAATTTAAACATACACTTACTGAAAGCAAACTTTTGAACCGACTAAAGAGAAAGAATATACTCCTATATCCGGTAGTGATTGTCAGCTAATGCCGCCACATTACGAAAATGGTCCAATGGATATGCAAACAGGCACATATAGGAGAGACCATGTATATCCTTCTCAACAATGCACATTTTGACTTGCTATTGCTGGCACAACATAACCAAGGTTCGTATGAGAGACCATATATATGCATAAGTCTACGTCTCTTTTCCTTCACACACTTTGGCTTGCCACGTCGTCACAAATAGTCACATATATTTATGAGATACCATATTTGTTTGCCAACTTGTTGAGCCTTGATTCTCAAACACTCATTCAATAAAGTATAACTCAAATGTATATGATAAGATTAAATTCTTGCTCAACACTTAGTACACTTATTTGACCTTTAATCATATTGTCATTCAATTGATAAAAAAACACTAAAGAGATAGATGCACTTTTAGGTCCGAGATATAAAAGTAGAGTTATGATTAGTTTGAATGCAAGGTTTTGTGAGATCCGATTAGAATTGAAAACTATGGAAGGATTAGTAAAAATAACAAGTATTTTGATATCTAGGACAAGTTTGGCTGCTCATTCTATCTTTATATTACCGTACTATTGTCTTGTAAGGACCAACATTCATTTAAATAGGAAATAGGTTGCTATGTGCATACAAAATAACACTAAGTGTGTTTACATGTATGGATACAAAAGCAGCATATTGTCCTCAATCAAAAATACAAGTAGCCAAACACATCATGATTTCCAAAAAGTAAATGGCACCCAAAAAACACTAGTTTATAAATCCTGTGGTATTGTATGGCTTTTGTTTTTAAAAATATAAGTTTGTAAAATTATAATTTTATTAGACAACTACAATAACCAAACCAATCGTAATTGGAGAATCCGATTTGATCCGTGGGCCTACATATTCACCTGCTTCAGGCCCACAATTTTTTTTTAGGGTGCATTCACCGCCAGCCTTTTCTTTCTCCCGTCCACCCTTCGCGCGTGCGCATTCTCGTGGCGCTACTAGGCGACCGCCGCCGCCGCCGCTCTACGCCACGTGAGCCTGGTAGGCTCCTTCTCCAGGTCTTTGTCGGGACCTTCGCCGGCAACCAAAAACCACCAGGTATGAGCACCCCTCCTCTTCCCTTCCTGCTGTGTTGTGCGAAACCGAGCACCCGAACCCTAACCTAATCTATTTCGTTATTTTTTTCAAAAGTTATTGGGCGTACAATGTCATTTACTGGGCCCGCCCCTGACCACGAGCTGGAGATGAAGGCGGCCAAGTATTCACGGGGGAAGGGTGCCGACTTGGAGGATGGAGGTAATCCATTATTGTGCTTTTGCAAACGAGTTGCAAGTGTTAATCATTCTACTTAGGATGAATATGCTGGCCAGCTATGCTACTGATAGTTCCTCTTGAAACTGGCCATTGACTAGTTTGGTTCTGGAATGGCTTTGTAGGCGCTGTGGGACAAGAATTAGAAAGGCCAGCTCACTGTAAAAGAGAAGCTACTGCAAAAGCTGCTGCACAACACCGTTTAGCCCAGCAAATTGAAATGCTCGACCCTAGAGATGAGGCTATTTTTAAGCTGTTCCTAGAGAGGTACAAGGGGTCGCCTCCTCCAAATGTGGTAGCGGCCCTTACCGCTCTGGCTCACGCGCGCAATGGTTCATCCAGGAGGAGCAATGTTACTGTGGCTGAAGAAGTTGAGAAAGAAGATGAGTAATAGGATGTAGCTCCTTTTTCTCTTGGTTCTATGTTGTTTCCTTGGTTGCGAGTAATCCCTTAAGTTTTTCTCACCTTGGTCGGTAATCCTCGCCGAGCGAGTTGTTTAAGTTATATTGTGCCTCTGGTGCATGTATCTGCTTCCTTCTTATTAATATAAGCCGGCTTTGTCGGATCTTTAAAAAAAAAACTGCTGCACAGACCGAAACAGTCATCTCTCCTTTCATTGCATTGTTCTGAATTTGGATCGCAAAACAAGTTGGGTGTCTCACTAGAAAAATCTTAGGTGTAATTGTGAACATTAGGTGGATGAAACAAGAAAATCTGATATTAAAAACCTGTGATTGGTTATTGTTTGTGTATGTTATTGTATCACAGAATTGATGTTTAGCTGTATTGACTCCAAGGGAATCCTGTTTGGATGAACTGATGAAGTGCAGGTTAGCATTTTAAGCATTATATGAGTGACTGGAACAATTGGCAAAAAGGACAAAGCCTCAGGAAGATTTGTATGTTGTGTTTTATGCATATTGGCTTACTGAAAGTACAATTGCTGAGTTGAAACATACTTGCTTTGGAGCAGAACTTTGTTATCTTAGATCAGCTCCTAGCCCTTCCTCTGAGCAGAACTGGGACATCGACGCGGTCTCTAATATGCCACTTTGTCTAGCAATATCTATAAAAGTGTATTGTCTTAAATAAAAAGTATGAGAGTAGTTTTCATAATAAATATAATGATGCCAAACTTGTCCTTTCAATCTATATAAATATTTTTAGATATTGATAGTTGAAGATATAAAAAAGTTTGGCTCAAAGACAAACCTAGATGGACTTGTATTTGTGATAGGAGGAAGTAGAAGTAGCAATTTGTGAAACGGCATGCCTACCTTTTTGAAGACAGTATGAAGGGCTCTATTGCTTTGTTGGTGTTTGTGTTGGCGTTCCTGTCTCGCCGCTGCTATGTACCTCTGGGTTTTGCCCTGTCTTGTAACCTTTCATTCCCGGCTTTGCAGGTATCTGTGGAAATATATTCAGGTGGGGACTGTCGTCCCCCTGGTGACTTGTCAAAAAAACTTAAATATGTTTATCTTTTAGATTAGATTCCTTAGTTTGACTCGCGATTCTCATAACCTTCGTTCATGATGATTATGCTCTTGAATTAGCTATTGTTAACACGCCGCTCTCCTGTGCATATGAGAAAAAAAGCCGTTGTTCATTTTGAAGATTTGTCCTTGTCTGTTTTCTGTTACTCGGTTTTGCAGTGGCTTATGCCTACTAATGAAGGTCTTTTAGAGCCTGATCATTTGGAGAAGACATATAGATTTTCACAAAGGGATATATTGAAGGAGGTGGATCTTTTGAGTTCAAGAAAACCATTTGATATGATCTTACCTGGTAAATCTTATGAGGTAAGTTCTTTTTACTATTGAAGAATTTTCATCCACACGGGTTTACTCCACTTACCCTTGTGTATGCCAGCTTCTAGTTCTGTTACACTGGAGTTGTTTTTTCTGTAAGTATAGGAACTAGATGCTACAGAAGGCTAAAACAATAATGAGTGGTAGGAGTGAAAGATAAAAGTATGATAGAAATGGCTATTTTTTTAATGATATCCTCATTGATGAATGATGAGGAAGATGACATTGGAGTAAATTGCACCATATAGGCATGTACATGAGAACTTGCAAGATGGTTGCAACCAGATCAAGGATCTCGAAAGTTACTCAAATTTGTGGGAATTTCTTTATGCCATCCTCTACATGCCAAAACTAGACATGCTGGCCTACTTGCACACAGTGTTTGAAAAAACGCTATTAAGCACTCACCCAGGTGCGCTTAAGCATAAGGAACCTTGGTGTATCACCTAAGCCATATGTGTCTAATTAAATGCAGCCTAGCGGGCAAGTGGCATGGAAGCGAGGAAAATTGGGAGCGAGGCAGGCTGTCAAGAGCACGGGTTGGCTGGCCGAAGGTCTTGCACTGCCGTTGTTGCCATCACATTCTTCCTGTCTCACTGCTGATTGCGAGAGGAATCTCAAGCTTGTGCTCCTTGTGTTGCCGCCGGCACAGCACCGCCCCATGCATGCCCTCCCTAGCACATGCTATCACGAGGCCGGGCCACCTGAGGCCAGTGATGCGAGACCTTACGACATGCAAATTGTGGCTGGCATTGTGGTGCAAGTGTGCATCGTTGGGAAGAGGAAAGAGGTGCGGCACCGGAGGCGATGTGTGCATACTGCAAGAGAGACAGGAGGAGAATAGGATGGGAGGGCATAAGGTTTGGCTGTAGGATCTTTAATCAATGTTTTCTAGGCCAAGGGAGATACCACTGCTGTCCTGCTGGGCCTATTATCAAGGATGGTCTAAATTTGTGATGTAGTGATGCACTTAAGGACATCCTGGCAAAAAAGAAAAAGCATTTATAATTATGTTTAATCTCCACTTAGGCACCCTTGCAGCCTGTTCGCTTGCTTGTAAACGATCGTAAATTTCCAGCCAGAAACAGTGTTTTTCTCTCACACCAAACCAGCCAGCAGTAAATAATCCACGATACGATACGGCCTCCCAAACAGGCCGTTGGGCCTTGGCACTAGGCAGTCGCCTGATGCCTGCCTAGCGCCCTTTGGTACCTTGCTCGCACAGATGGGTCTGGTCACCTCCTACCATGGATCCATAGGCGTGTCATTAGTGTGTGGGGTTCATTTCATCCACTTGATTTCCAAATATCCCTATATGGTGGCACCTCCGGGAGGAGGGAGGGGAATGGATGGATATGGAGGCTGAGTCATATGTAAGTCTCAAGGGTTTGGTTGCAAAAATTGTGTTGGTCAAGCTCCCCTTTGCCACACAGGTAGCCTAGTAAGCACCAACTTGTTCGATCATGTCCGCGGGGTAGCATGAACACTTAAAAAAATTATGTGGCAACTTTTAACTGCTATCAAGATGGAAGTTCTACATTTAATGCAATTAATAACTTAACTCTGATAATGTATTTTTTCCCATTTCAGATGCTTTGAATTGTGGCAGCTAAATGTAAACCAACCTGATTATTGTACTCCAGGCTTGTCATTTTCTTAGAATAGCAGGAGGCTATTCCTGTCTTTTTGTGTTTATGGTCCATGTTTACTAAGATGAACTCCATTTTGAACAATGTTGGTGGCCCTGCACCAATGGTGATGTATCTTTCAATTTCTGTCAAAATATTTCCACCATCACCCATGCTCTTTTTTGCCACTTTCTCTCAGTTTTAATAATCACAACAAGCATTCATGGATATTACACTTATCTGGTTTGTTTTTTATTTCTTTAGGTGAGGGAAACTGTTCACGATGTGACATATTTACACAATGAGCAGTTGTATGCAATCTCTCAAAAAAGTATATTTTTTACTTTGAACTATGTACTATGTCATCATTGTTCATAAAATATTTAACATGTATTAAGTATTAACTGTTGGTTTGAAAAATATGAAATGAAGGGCGTACCCAGTGCAGAGAGCTCCCGCTCTGTGTGGGGTCTGGGGAATGGTGTCAGTGGCAAGCCTTACCCTCGCCTGTGCAATGCGAGAAGACCGCGACTTGAAGGAATATTAAAATTTATATCAATCTCTGCTCAGGGTCTCATAAATGAGAACACGTTGCCAAATTTTTGTGAGATTTTTTGATCAACCAGGTCATAATATTATTTCCAAGTTGTTGCATGTTCCTCATAGAAATATCCTGAAGTTATCCTTTCAAAAAAAAAATCCTGAAGCTATACTATTCCATGCAACCTGCATTTGTGTGAACAATAAACCTATTTCTGGCAGCCCATTGAACTTCTAGTCATAATCGGAATCTTGATAACGTGAGTTAGGAGCAGCTGAGAATTGCCATTTGAGGTCTGAGATTTGACTACTTTGAATTCTTGTTTGGAACTGTTAGTCACTGTTGTACTAAGCCATTGGATTATTCTATAGTTTTAAATGTTTATACTAGGCTAGATCAAGCAAAATTGTATATGCTTGTAGTTGATGCTTTATTCTTCAAGGCAGTTGGATATGGCTGTTGGTCTCTGTTTCCTGTGTACTATTAACATTTCGTAGTTACTCATGGAATATTTTTGAAACAGGTAACCCTATACATATATAATCGACATGGTACAGAAATTCACTGTCTGAAGGTAAGCATGATTGCAATGTCTTTTCTCTTGGTGAATATAGGAGTTATTGATACTTCTGTGTTGATGTTACTGTTCATACTTTTAGGAAAACTGTAGAAAACAGTATTCAAGAATATAATTATATTCTCTTTGTTTGCATCCATGAAAACTGCACTATATGTCAAACTGAAAGTGGACCTTAGCCACATGTGACTGAGTCTCAATAACATTGGTATTTTCCAAGAACATATAATTTTTCAGCAATACTGAAAATAAAAGTTTGCAAATGTTAAATGATCAATAAGACATACTTCACCGTTCAGTCATCAAATGCTATGCATCCAGGAGATCATCTGTCACTTGATCAATTTAGTACCTTTTTGTTCTCCTTTTAAATCCCACTGGGCATTCAAATGAACTTATTGTACTAAATTTCTTTGGAGTATAATACTGTGTGCCAATCAGCATCGCAACAGTTTAGCAACATAGATTTTGAGAGGTGTTTATCAGTCAGCCTGTCCTTGGTGCGTAGACGTCCTAAACTCTGAAGATGTTTTCTTTTGTGAGCCTGATCACTTCTATGTTGGCAGGAACATGGAAAAGCATTGGAACTCCAATTTATGTCTAAACAATTCCTCTTGGCATCAATAAACAGCTTTGGGCAGCTCCACTACCAAGATGTGAGCACTGGTGAAATGGTTGCAAATTACAGGACTGGTCTGGGCTGTACGATGTTATGCGGGCCAATCCTTACAATGCTGTCATTGCCCTTGGGCATGCTGGTGGCAAAGTTGCCATGTGGAAGCCAACCAGCGTGAAACCCCTTGTTACCATGCTGTGTCATCATGGCCCGGTGACTGCTGTTGCATTTGACAGGGGCGGCCACCTTATGGCAACAACAGGTGTTGATAGGAAGATAAAGATCTGGGACCTGAGGAAGTATGAGGTTATACATTTTTATCCACAGGCCACAGCGTGCTCAGTCCTTGGATTTTAGCTAGAAGGGGCTGTTGGCCTGCAGTAATGGATCTCAGGTAGAGATATACAGGGATTCTGGTGGGAATGATTATAAACTTTACATGAAACACAAAATAATGAAGGGCTATCAAGTCGGGAAGGTTTCGTTCAACCCGTATGGAGATATTCTAGGGTTTGGTCCCTCGATGGGCTTTTCTTCCATCCTTGTTCCAGGATCTGGTGAGCTGAACTTGTTGACAACCCCATGGAAACAGCCAAGCAGGAGCGTGATGAGGAGGTGCATCCTTTCCTCAATAAACTCCCACCGGAGACTATCATGCTCAACCCGAACATGATAGCCACTGTAAGAGCTCCAAAGAATAAAGAGAAGAAGACCAGTAAGGAGATTGAGGAAGAAATGGAAGATGCCATCGAAGCCGCCAAGAACATTGAGCGCAAAAAGAAGACCAAGGGTAGGAGCAAACCTAGCAAGCGGGCCAATAAGAAAGAGGAAGATGTTTTCAAATCCAAGAGGCCCTTCCTAGAGCAATCCAAGGAGATTGTTGGGCGACCTGACAAGAAACAGCGGATAGGCGAAGATGTCGAACTCCCAAAAGGCTTGCAGCGGTTTACCAAGAAACCACAATCATGATCAACATTAACAGAGTTGGGACTTTACATTGGTTTGTTATGCATCGCTGGTCGCTTTTATGATTTAACTGGCCAGTATGTAAAATTCCCGCATGAGGAAATGGTGCACAGAATGCGCTGAAATTTGTTCTGAACCGTTGGTATTCCAGTGAGCATGGCCGTGTCAGCTGAATTTTTTTGCTCTTTGGTTCTCGTAGAGTTTATAGCCCTTTTCATTCAGATGAAGTAGATAATTCAGAATCCTAGGTTTATTTTGGATCAGAACTTTGAACCTGAAGCACCCATTCGCTACTGTCCTTAAGGCTTGAGCTTTGGTTATCTACAATATCCATGTTGGGAAAGGCGGTGCTTGTACAAAATTGCAGTAACATTGTTTGAGCAAACGTGGAAGGTATGCCTGCAGGCTGCAGGATTTGAACTTGGAACTGAAGACAATGCGGAAATCGGCTGAGTGCAAATCAACAAGCGCTCTAGCCACATTTGTGTTCGTTATTGCTCCAACCTTTTGTCCTTGCCCCCTTTTTAAGGTACGTGTGACTCAATATTCAAACTTTTTAATCTTTTGATTAACATTTAATCTAAGAATATATAGATTATACTATACAATTTTGATATCAACTTTCTAATCTTTTGATTAACAATTAGTTTACGAACCTGTGGATTATACTATAAGTTTAATATCACTGGATTTATATTTGAAAGTGCTTAGCATAATGGCAATTTTATGGCCATGGAGGTTATAATATTAAATTGATGAGCACAGTGTAGCGTTGCAGGCCATATAGGATCAAAATTGTGTCTTATTATCTTGTATGTATTTTTAAAAGTAAGTATCGTCTATGCAAAAGCCCAATTTGACTGTAACCAATGGGAGGAGAAATCGGACATGGACAAGTATGGATTTCTATCCTTCCTTCCCGAAAAATAGAAGGATATCCGGTTGTCATAAGTTAAACTACTATTCTAAGATTGATCAAATTTATAACAATTATTACTGTAACATTTACTATATCAAATGAGCTTCCTTAGATATATTATGAAACCTATTTTTATAATTTATCTCTTTGATCTGATAGATGCTAATACTTTTCTTTATAAATTTGGTGAAACTTAGGATGGTTTGATTTAGAATAATAGAAATGCATTATATTTCAGGATAACCAAAAATCTATTATATTTCAGGACATAGCGACTATTGTTGGTGTTTCGTATCACTAGCAAGTAAATTTGACTATTGTTGGTGTTTCGTATCACTGGCAAGTAAATTTTGTGTCACCCACTGGATTCCCAGTGAGGTATCACACATGACTCGAAGATAAAACATAAGTATATTTTTGCAACGGATGAAGTAATTGTAACTAATGCAGTGAGGTGAGGTCGATCACGACAATGGATATGCAAACAAGCATACGGGCGGGCGGCAGGCACTGTAAACTTTACATCAGAACAATACTAATCTATGGCGGCTTTCCTGAAAAACTGATTTCCTCCAAGACCATCCTGTCGTGAAAACGATACAAATTCCTCTCAGCATGGTCTTTTTCACCATTTGTTTTCATCTCTTCAGGCCCTGATTTCAACCATGTATACGTAGGCGCCGGTGCAGCCGTCTAGTTCATTATATCAAATGGACAAACTAGAAGCTACTAGCTAGCAATTTTAGGGGCACTTTGTTAATCACCGCAATCGAACATGTAACAAGCAGTCGGCGATGGGCGGCATCATCTGTTAACTTGTAGTACGCTGTCTGTTGACTACTATGACTAGTTACTTGCCTGACCTACTTGTTGCATTGGTCCCATCACTACTAATTTATGGCGGCTTTCACACATAAAAAAAAAACCATTTCACCATAAGACCTTCCTGGGTACCTGTCACAGAAACGGTACAAAAATTGTGTGCTCGATCTTCGCTCGGCTTTTTTTTCCCACATGTCTGCGTGCACTTGGTTTCAAACAGAGTTGTCCTAATTTATTTTTTAATTTTATTCGACCTCGTAGCATCTATAGTATCAAATAAGTATAATATGAAAATATATTTTATGACGAATTTTAGAGGCGATAACTTAAACTTATTGTTAGACGGAAAAGTGTATTGCGCTTGCACAGTGTGCAGCCATGTAGTTTAATTATAGGAATGGACAAACTAAGCTACTAGTAATCAACTAATCATACTATCATAGGACACTTGCTTTGCATGTCTCTATCTACGTGTAATAAATCAATTTGTCTTCCCAGTCTTTTGATGGGCACTTCAAATTTGTATGCTTCCGATGGCGAATATTTTTCTTCAGATTTGCTACCCAATAAATGGTTGTTTTGAGAGCTGCCAACAACCGGTTTTTAGGCCTTCCGATCGGGATCGGTTGGTTCAGGCGGGCGGGACGCGGGCGCATGCGGCTTCTCCTGTCCACTGCCTGTCAGCCAGGGCGCGGGCCCTACCTCTCTCTCATGCGGTCAACAGAGCGAGCAGCGCCTCTTGCACCTCGCCCAGCGCAGGCACGCGGCTGCTGCAGCGCATGCAGGTGGTTCCCGCCGGTCGTAGGCCTCACGAGCGCATATGGATACCACTGCAATTTGTGAACAATTTGTTATTTGCTCTAAAATTTGTGAATAATTTGATATATTCTCTGATATCTGTAATTTATAGAAATAATTTGTAATTTTTTCTAAAAAATTTGGCATGAGATCTGCAATCCATAAAAATAAAAGTTATGTTATATCTAAATTACATCACTCTGTCTAATAAATTACACTGAAAAAATCATTGTAAATATAGTAATAAGACGGTGTAAATATAGCTATAAGACAATGGAAGTGCATTGAAAAAATCATTGTTGGCTAGGCAGATTCTTTTTCTTTCTTTGTTTCTTTCTTTCTTTTTGAAACAAAATCATTTTCCTACCTCGCGTGAGTGTATATATCTGTCCAAATCTCCACGGATGCACGACTCCTGTTTTCAAATGCAAGATCGGGACCTTTTGTATGCATATAAAACGGCTGCGTGTAGTGTAGTGCAATTATTTTATGTGACTTATAAGGGAGCGCTTGCGTGTAGCATCCGGCTTCTTCATGCGTTTTAAGGAACTGATCTTTCTTGAGACGAGCCAACCCCTTTGCGGTTTATGTAGTTTATTCATAATTGATTCGTTTGTTGGACCACCAAACGCGCCAGCGCCACAGTTTCAACTTTCAACGGTGTTTTGCATCAGAGGCGTATTAAAAACTCACCGATTCCGACCTCTTGGTAGATTGCTGAGCAGTAGGTGAGCAAACGGCGACGTGCTTGTCTCGCCCCCCCGGTCGTATCTGTCGCCAATACACTGAAGAAGAGGAAGAAGAAACACTACTTGCTCAGCGAAATACAATAAGATGCCGTCGGTGAACGGCGATGACACTGCGACACTGTGACAGTAACATTAAACCATGCTGTGATCAAATCTAGCCTGAGATTCCGATACGCTAACCGTTCCCTGATGAGCATCACAAGTCGCCACAACATCGTTTTCTTGCATGATTTGTGTGGGAGCTCCAGAGTCTGAAAGACTGAAACCAACTGGAGAGCTCGGCGCCAAATTTTCCAGCTCGTGCATTGACCAGTCTCAGTGATGGGCCGGCCACCGGTAGGTTGGGCTGGGAAGGGAATCTCGGGCGGGCCATCCCTTTTGACTTCACTGGATCGGAAGGAAAACCCATGGACACCTTTAGGACACCACGTCCAGTTCCTTTCGCCTCCGGCATCCGGGATCCCTACGGCTTTTTATCAAATTTGAATTTTCCACTGCATGCGGCTCTGACTTGCAAGACGCCAAGACCTGTCTGTCACCTTGCGCAAGCATATCAGCATACGGATTTGACTGGTTGACTCACAGGAGCATCAGTGTCTCGTGTTCCACGGTTCCTTCTTGCTTCACAATTCAGGAAGCATGCGGAGAGAGCCGGAGAGGACAAAACAGAGAGAGACGAAAAAGCCGATTGACTGATGTGGTTACCTTTTACACCAAAATTTTAGAAGAAGAAAACGGGAATTCATAGGATTGTGTCATTGAGAAATCATTTAGATGTGAATCGATATCAGCTAATTTAGATACGATGTCAGAATCGGCTATTTTATAGACGACGTCAGTGGGCTATCGACCTGTTCGTTTCGGCTGAATTGGCTTATAAGCCATGGCTGAAAGTAGTGCTGGCTGATTTGATGTAAGAGAAAAACACTGTTGGCTGGCTGATAAGCCAAGGTTTATAAGTCACATACAGGCTGCCGAACAGGCTGTACGCTTGAATGGTGCCAGGAAGACGTGTCGGACTCTACTAATAAGGAAAATTAAAGTTTAAGTTTTATTAAGTTATTAAGTTTTCTTTTATTCCAAGAATTGTAATGAGTCCTTTTTTAGTAGGATTCATGTTTAGGTTTCGAGTATAAATATTAGACCCTGGTTATTGTAAAAAAAACTGAACACTCAATCAACACAATCTTTCCGGCTTTCGCCATCGTATTAGGAGTAGGAGTACTGTAGATCTCGGCGAGTTCTTCAACAAACAGGGCTGCATCGACTGATCGACCTTCAGCTTGCTCGTGAGTACCGTCACGACTTGTATTGTGCTTGTAAAGCTATATTAGCTGATTGATCTTTTATGAGCCATAATATAAGCGCGTGTTTAGTTGCCCAAATTTTGGAAATTGGCTTACTGTTGCACTTTCGTTTTTATTTAGCAATTAGTGTTCAATTATAGACTAATTAGGCTTAAAACGTTCGTCTCGCAATTTCCAATCAAACTGTGCAATTAGTTTTTTTTTCGTCTACATTTAATGCTCCATGCACATATCGCAAGATTCGATGTGATGGGTACTGTAGCACTTTTTGGGAAAAAATTTTGGAACTAAACAAGGGCTAAGTTAGTTATCGATCCGTATCGTAGTTTGTAAGGCTGCATCAGCTGATTGATCTCTTACGAATCATAATATAGATCAAAGTTATCGATCTTGTGTTAAATAACTCGT